AGGGGCCGAGGAATCCTCCACACCGTCCATGTGCCCCCCATTAGATTCACCACTTGAACCGCCCCGCAAGACCGTGCCCTTTGCAGACCCTGCTTCATGGGCATGAAGCGAGGTGCCCAGATCTTAATAACAAGTCTGGTTCCAGTTACTTTCTGAACTTAAAAGCAAGACTGAAAAGCAAAACCGATCTGGGAAGTCTGCACAAGTCCCCTTATTCCCCCCTCATGGGAGACCCCTCGCCCCTCAGAAGGCAAACGTCTTCCGGTTTTCAGATCCCTCGCTCCGACTTTCCCACCTGACCCCGAGCTGGGCAAGGAATACCGCCCCCATTTTACAGATAAGCAAACCGAGGCTCCGGGAGGCCTCGGGAGCTGGGGGGTCACACAGCCAAAAGAAGGCAGAGCCGGGAAATGCTAAGAAGAGCTGCCGTGGCCCCTTTGTCCTGCACATGGGCTGAGGGCTCCTGCGGGAGGAGCGCCAGCAGCACGGCTGGGCGTGGGCACCGTCACCAAAGGGAACCCTCCCCCTGCAACTCCCAGGGGCATGCTGGCCCCGGACCCTCCTCCCACAGAAGCTCCTTGGAAGCAAACTTGCTGACCTCAGCACAATTTTTTTCCAAACACGCCCTTCCTCCGTCTCCCCAAATCTCAGTGTCTTTGGATCGTTTCCCTGCGGAGAGGCCAAGGCGGGCCCGGCGGCCCCTAGAAGGGGTTCCCTCCCGGAGCCTTGCTCTCAGCCCCCGCCCCTCCCCAGCCACCGTCCTGGCCTGCTCGGCTGGGACACTCGGCAGAGAAACCACAAATAATTTTGCTGTTTAGCAGAACATCAGTCTGGGTTTCCACGGCAACAGCCTCTGGAGCCAGCTGCCCCGGCAGCTGACAGCGCAGGGCCAGGCCGGCTCGCATCTCCCGTTGGAGCGGAGGAAATGGATCCACTCTTGTTTCTGAGATTCCAGAATCTCCAGGCTGGACGCCGGGGGCCTCCGTGACACAGAGGCCAGGCCAGGGGATCTCGGAGACTCAGCGGCGGTCGGGCGAGGAGGCTGAGTGCCTGCCTGGGAGGGTGAAGTCAGAAGTCCCAGGGCGACCCACCGCCCCCAACCATCGTGCATCGGCCCGCTGCTGGGCACAGGCACGCACCCGGAGCGCCACCTGTCCCATCCTGCCTCGGCCTCGCCACCTTACCAGGCAAGTCCCACTGCGGCACCACGGGGCAGGTGGGGAAATAGAGGCCCAGAGGGACTCCGTGGCTCCTCTCAGCACACAGTAGGCATCTGGTTCCAGAGCCTGCGTCTGCTCACCTCTCAGCCCATGGCCGCTCCTGCTCCGGAGCGTGGACACCCCCGGGGTCTTCGCGTCACTGGTCTCTAAGGAGCTTCTGCCACGAGGGGACTCCTCAGAATAGCGGAGGCTCCTGTGTGCTGAGTTCTTGCTACTGTGCTGCCCGCTTCTGGTGCTTTTTTCTTCCCTCTCTCATTCCTTCCCCGAGGCAGGATATGCTCTTCCTACCCACTCTGCTTCCGAGAAAAGCGAGGCTCAGGGAGGGGAAGCGAGTTGCCCAGAGTCACATGCTCCCAAGTGAGGGGGTACAGGTGGGAGCCAGGCCGACTCATAACTCGCACCCAAGATGCCCTAAGGGCGGTGTTGTAGGCAGCGTCCTGGCTCACCCCTTCCATCCCACAATCGCCCAGGTGGACATCTGACCCTCGAGCACTGGCTGTCCCCAGGCCCCTGCCGCACGACGGAACCAAACTCTGGGGGATATAGCATCTCAGGGACTCTGGAGCCTGGGAGCTGGCCCTGCAGGGTCAGGCCCTGAGCTGGCTCCAGGGCACGTGGAGAGAGACAGGAGCGAGGTGCTGCCGTCCAGGACCTTGCTGTCTCGGGGCGGGGGGCGGGGGAGAGTCGTGTGGACAAGCAGCCGCTAAGCCACGGAACAACATCACCCGTATGAGCCTGAGGGTTTTTCTCTGGCAGCAAGGAGCACCAGGGCAGTTTCCCCTTGGGAGAGAGGCCAGTGTGAGTGCAGGGCTGGGAGCAGTGTGGGGCCTGAGACGTAATGAGACGGAGGATCTGAGACCTTGGGGAGCCCAGGCCAGGGCCAGCGGGAAATGCAGTACCAGTGAGTATGATATTGAAGAGGCCGGCCCATGCGTGGGTGACAGGTGGGGCCCGAGCGTGTGCGACGCCCAGAGAGGGAAGAACCGAGAACTCCTCATCTATGGTCAAACAGAGGACGAGGGAGCTGGGCCTTTCATTTGTTTAACTGTGGCTTCATGTCCCTACTTTGTCAAAAAAAAAAAAAGGGATTTGTGGTGGCTTAATAAACACACACAGTAGGACAGGATTTTTAGTAGGAGAAGAAAACAAGGGGGAGAAACATAAGATAAAACAGAGATAGAGTTAGTGGTCAAAATAGATGCCATAAGGTCCTCTGTGCGTGCTGTCTGAAGTATGGCAAATTTGACTCTGAGTTTCCTGGCAGCCAATGCAAAAAGGAAAGCACGCTCTGCCATTCAATTTACAAGGTGCACAGGATGAAACAAACAAGCCGCTGGGAGATGCCAGGTTCCACGTACTTTGGAAAAAGAAGAGGACCTTCTTATCAAGATCGTCTTGACAACGCCTGCGTGCATAACAGCTGGACCACATCCCTGCGTAGACGAAGTGATGCTTATGGCTGAAGCATCCTTTGAAGTGATGCTTTGAAGCATCTGTGGGGCCAGGAGTATGGCTCAGGCCCCCTGCAAGGGGTGAGCCGGGGCCGACAGGCATGCAGACGTCTGGTGGCCAGGCTTTCTGGAGCTGTGCTCGAGCACAGCTTCTCACCAAGAGTGGGGGCATATCAGAATCCAAACCTCCAAGTTCTCATACCCATGAGATTCTGCAAAGCCCCCACCCCCCGTACAGATGGGACCAAACCCTGGCGCTCAGGTGGGCCTTGCGTGGGCTGGAGGCACCGCCCTGGAAGCTGGTGTTCAAACTTGGCTGCCTGCTGGAATCGCCCAGGAGTTTACAAAGACCCTGGTCCCCGGCTCCGCCCCGGGTTATGATCTAATCTCCTCTCAGGTGCGGTCCGGGCTTGAGGATCATTTAAAGCTCCCAGGTGATTCTCGTGTGCAGCCAAGTTCAGAACCCTCTGGGGGAGCCGCGTCACCTGTTCTCCGCCCACGGTCTGGGACCCACAGTTTGGCAAAGGTCCCACAGCAGAGAATCAGGGTGGCACCCCGAGGGCCCCAGGTCCCAGGGGAGGATGGGTGCCCCAACCAGTCTCAGGGCTGAAGGGGAAGCCACCCACCTTGGAATGCGGGTTAACCAATGGCTGTGAGGGTCCTCGAAAAATAATTTAGGCTCTGCTCCGAGCCCCGGTGCAATGGGTGATGGGACCCCTAATTTCACTCCGTAGATAAGCTTTTCCCAAAGGCAGTTGCTCAGCAAAACACATTTCATGGCGTCCCGGGGGAAGGTGTTCCGTGGGCAGAGTTTAAGGAACACGTGGCACCGCTGTCAGCAGGTGTCCCCACACAGGGCCGGCGATTTTCCCAAAGGCACATGCGGGTTTCCCCAAGCTCTCTGGCCATCGGCTCTATTTCCCAGATCGCGTGTTTTTTCAGGAACTGGTCCACGGAGGTGTGCCCTACGGCAGCTTTGTCGAGAAAAGCTGCTGTCATCATTCCAGCCAGACCCAGTTGTTTTTTTAAAAAAAGTCATTTATTAAAGAAATCTCCGGGCCGGCACAGCTACGACATCCGGCTCGGAACCCCGAAACTGCCTGGTTCCCCGAGATAAAGCGGTTGGAACAGGTACCCACGTGGAACGGAGCAAGCTGAAGCAGGCTGGTTAGCACTCGGCGAGCTAAATGTCAAAAGATGTGCGCTAAAGACGACGATTCAGATCTTGGAAGCGTGGAGTCGATGCCATTCTTCCCGACGGTAGTTAATTAGAGGCGCCAATCACCTATTAAGAGATTCCCAGCCAGTGACAAAATAATCGTGTCATTAGAAGGGTTAATATTTGTAACCCGTCAACAGCCCTGAAAAATGCGGGAGAGAATACTATAAATCAATAGAAAATGACAAGGGGCGAGAAAAAAATGAGGAATAATGTCCTCTAACAGATGCATGATGCAGGAAGAAACATCCCCTAAACTTTATTGGCTTAAAACCACCGCAGCTTCCTTCTGGCTCACCCCACGTGTCAGGGGAGCGCGGCAGAGATTCTGCTGGTTGGCCAGTCAACGAGCCCGGCTCCTGGACGCTCAGGGTCTGCACCAGCCTCTGAGATCGCTGGGGAAGGGCTGACAGTGGAGGTGGGAGGGTTTAGATGCTGGCTCTTCAGAGTGCGCCCAGCCGGGTGCAGCCCTAGCTTGAGGCCAGGAGGAGAACCTGCTATCTGGGAACAGTCCAAAGGCCCCCACCAGGGATAAAATCCTCCACCCCCTTGTCCACTGAAAACGTGCAAATTGGAACAACAGAGGGACTATGGAATTGCTTCCCCAACGTTGCAGAGATAGAAACAAAAGTGAGGAGAAGCTTGCTATCCTGTAGGCAAATGCTTATCCTTTTCTTTTTTAAGTACCACATCTACTTTGTTCTAAATCACGCATTAGGAGACAAACCTGCAGACCCCAGACAGATTCGCTGCCTTGTTTTTGTACAGCTGTGAGCTAACATTGGTTTTTAAATACATTTTTTTTTTTTGAGGAAGATTAGCCCTGAGCTAACGTCCACTGCCAATCCTCCTCTTTTTGGTGAGGAAGATTGGCCCTGAGGTAACATCCGTGCCCATCTTCCTCTATTCTGTATGTGGGTCACCACCACAGCGTGACTGACGAGTGCTGTAGGTCCGGGCCCGGAATCCAAACCCGTGAACCCTGGGCCGCTGAAGTGGAGTGTGCGAACTTAACCACTACGCCACCGGGCTGGCCCCTTAAATGCTTATAATGATTGGGAAAAAAATTTTTTTTGAATGATAGAAAAAATCAAAAAAAGAATATTTTGTGACACGTGACAGTTACAGAAAATTCACATTTCCGGGTGCGTTTATGGGACCAAAGTCACACTCCTTGGCTTCCAGACCCCACTGCAAAGGCAGAGTGGAAACACTGTGACAGAGATCGCGTGTGGCCCGCGAAGTCTTCAGTATGTGCCGTCCAGGGCAGATGCTTCTCGTTTTCACTCTCGGTGGAGGAAACAGAGAGGGAGCAGGATGTGTGCGGCTCAGCCCCGGGGACGGTGACCTCGGGCGCGTAGGTGGAGGCAGTGAGTGGGTGAGGGGGCAGCTGGCTCTCGTCAGCTCCTCCACAAGGTGACTGCTGACCCACGCTCCTCGCAGGAGGTCACGGGCAGGGTCTTCAGAAGGCCCCTAGCCTTGCCGTCCAGCCTGTAACCCCACGGAGAGAGGGAAGGAAGGTTGAAAAGGGCCTCCAGTCCTCACCTCCGGCCCCCTGGGTTCACCACTAGGAGATGCTCGGACGATGTCAGCAACGGGAGACCGATAACCAGAGACGGCCGTCCGGTGTGGGGCACCGGCCAGAGAGGAACCAGCTGGCACCATGTGACTAAGGCTCCGGAGGGAAAGACACAGCTGATGTCAGCTTCGCAACCCGGAAAAATCCATCAGCTGGCGACCTCGGCGGCCAGATTCGTACTCTGCTCCGTCGCTGGAACGTTTAGCCAAACTCAGAATCTCGAGAAGAAAGAAGGAGGCCGAGAAGAGACAGCAGAGGTGAGGGAGCGGGGGACGCGTGCTGTCCAGGGAACGAGAGACGGGGCGGCTCAAGGAGGCGGCGGTGGTCTTGTGGTCAGAGCGGCCAAGTCAGGTGAAAAAGGGGCAGAAAGACCAAAGCAGGAGGCACCCACGATCTTGGCAGGAGAGCTTCCCGGTCGCCCGGGGAAGGGGCATGAAGTTCTGGTTTGGCAAGAGTGGCTGTATGGATGGATCACGCAGTGACATTCGACAAGCGGTGACCAGGATTTGTCCTATGCCATGCGCTGTGCTGGGGGTTGGGGAAGTGGCTCATTCGTTCACTCATCCATCCATCCATCCATCCATCCATTCACTCATTTAACAGGTGTTGTCTGAGCGTCCACTGGGGGCCAGGTGCTGGGAACAGAGCCGAGAACAAGACAGATAAGTCGCATGCTCTCGGGGCTCACCTTCAAACAGCGGAGACGGACAGAGGGCACCAAATGCGGTAAAAAGGGAAAACCCGGAGGTGAGGGCAGAGGCGACAGGCTGGGAAGGGAGCACTAGCTGTTGCTCTCGCTTGCCGTGCGCCTTGCACGTGTTGACACCTTTGGAATTCTCACAATAAAGTGAACTCTTCCTGTCTCCATTCGACGGAGGAAGAAACTGAGGCACACAGAGCCAGGACGCTGTGCCCAGGGTCCCACAGCTGGTAAGGGGGACAGCTGGGATTTGAAGCCAGGCACCAGAGTCCCTGCTGGAATCCCAGCGCGAGGCAGTGCTGCTGGGGCCGGGACCCTGGTGGGGACGGGAAGGAGGGAGCCGCTGTTGGCGGGGGTCAGACGGAGAGAAGGGGCTGAGTTACGGAGAGAAACTGGACACACTCCCGCCCCTGGGACGCCAGAAGTCCCTGTGGACGCCGGGGGGCGGGGGGAGTTCACAAGAGCCATCCTCACCGAGGATCGCTGAGCGGCTCCCTGATGGAAGACAGAAAGCTCTAGAAACGTGAGGATGAGGATGAGAACTCCAGGCCGGGGGGAAAATAGGAGCAAAAGAATATGATCTCAGGAGGCAGAGATCACAGAGCGGGGCTGGGAACAGAGAACCGAGGGGGACGGGAGCGCAGAGAATGTTAAGGGAAGAAGGAGATAAGGCTGGGAAGAAACTGGGGGCCCAGTGAGAGCAGCCCCGGACCTGAGGGGGGCCTCCAGAGGCAGCAAGGACTGTCCCCTGGTTAATGAATCGTGATCTGCCTGGTGCAGTGGCAACAGCAACAGTAATAGTAACAGCCTTTCCTGAGCTTTCCAGGCTGGCTATCCTCCGACCCAGCCTCTCAGGCAGGTGCGATTGTCACCTCCACTGTATAGGTGGAGGAATTGGGGCTCAAGCGGGACCACAGGCCAGTCATTAGCGGAGGCTGGTTTTATTTTCCATCAGATAACCAGGAAGAGAGCCAGAAAACACCACGGCTCCTGTCCCGAGTGTGTTCAGCAGCCTGGGGACCACGGGGGACACAGAAGAGCGACAGGAGTGTCGCATGGGGCCGAGCTTCAGGTGATAAAAACGGCTGTCCTGACAGTAACACCAGCCCAGCCTCCGGGCCCAATTCTGAAATCTGAAAAGCTCTGAATCCCAGAGTTGTCTCGTAACCTGCTTGGCACCCGGACCTGACGGGACGTGACATTGCAGGCGGCAAAATTCCCCAGGCCGTCAGATTTTCCTCTCCTCCAGGCGGGTGTGCGCGTGTTTCGTGGACTCGAACGTGGGGTACCAGCCCAGACCCCACGGGGAGGGCTGCCTAATGGAAGAAATTTAAAAGAAGACTTTCTAAAAATCCGGAAGTCTTGTCTTTTGGCGAAAAGGTGTTCTTTGGTTCTGCTGGGGGGGCCCCACTGTTAGTCCAGGGGGTCAGGAGCCCCCAGTGCTGGGTCTGGCCCTGCCTCCCTGTTGACGTGGTCTCAAGAGGCCGGAGGCGGACGTTTCATGCAGTCGAACGGGAGAAGAAGCGGCTGGCCGTGCTCACCAGGTGAGGCTGCTGGGAGGTAAGGAGGAAGCCATCCCCACAGAGGGGATCCCGTGGCATTTCTGGCTCAGATAGCACTTGATCAAGGAGGGGCTCACTAGCCCGTGGGAAGTGGGTCTGGATGCAAGAGGCCCGGGTCCTAGTCCTGGTCGGCTCTGCCACCAGAGTGCTGTGTGACCCCGAGCAAGTGTCCGCCCCTCTCTGGACCTGTTTTTCTCTTTGTAAAGTGCAGGCCGAGGCCAGGCCCAGCAGGCCTTCCCGCTGGCTTGCACCACCTGGGACACACTGAGCCAGACGCTCGGCTTTTTGTCAGCGCCCCCCTCCCCGGACCCCTGGGTGGCAGGACGGGGCCCCAAGCACCCCCGTGTCTCTGCTCCCCATTCTGTAATTGAAGGGGTGGGCAGGCCTCGCCTTTCTCTTTCTCCGTGACATGTGCCTGCGTTTCGGGGTGGAGCTCAGTGCTTTTCCGGAGTCTCCATTCCCACGGGGGCGGGAGGCAGCCGGGGCGCACCCCGCGCCGCCCGCGGGCCATCCGGGCGGCCCAGCCGGGCGCGGGCAGCAGGCAGCAGGCCGCGGGCCCCAGCTCCTCTCTGCTCGCCCGGCCCCGGGTGGGAGGGATTTCCATGGGGCTTATGGTGATTTATAATGGGAAACCTCGGCTCTCCCCCGACATTGTTCTCGCTGACAGAGGGAAGAATGAAGGCACTAAATCTGCTCTCATCACAGGGAACGAAGAAGCCGCCGCTCGGCCCAGCCCCGGTGCCCTCGACCGCAACAAAGTGCTCTATTGTCATCGATTACATTTTTTCTCAAAAAACCTTCAGCCGCGCACAAGGCCAGCGCCATACCCTCCACTGGCTGGTCCTCTTTGTCTGCGCCCGGGGGCAATGGGATGTGTCAGTCTGAGTAATGCCCCTTCAGGACTTCTCAGGAGCCCGCGATTTCTCAGGCCCCTCGGCCAGGGATGAAAGCGGGCCCGCGCCCGCCGCGCAGCCACCACGCCACCTGGCCCACGGGGACCCGGCGGACTCAGCCGGCCGGGCTGGTGGCCGTTCCCTCCTCCCCAAGTCGGCCTGGGGGTGGCAGCGGAGCAGGAGGGCGCAGGCTGGGTGGGCAGTGGGGCAGGGGGTACATGGGGGAGCCGGACAGGAGTCCGGGGGTCTCCTCCAGCACTGTCAATCGTCAGAGGGGACGCGAGTCCCAGCTGCGGTCCTGGGGGGCTGCCCCGGCCGCCCAGGACGGAGGAGTAGCAGCTCCCACAGTCCGAACCACACAGCCCGAACCACACAGCCCTTGAAGGAGCTGTGTCCACACTTCCGAGTGTGTAGTTAGCAAACCAAACCAGGCTGCTTCATTCGTTCATTCGTTCACGTCCTCGCACATTCGTGTGTTCCCGCCTTGCCCGGTCCTTCATGAGTGGAGAGGGGGTTCTGCTCCCCGTGCCTTCCAGGGGCCTCGAGGAGCGGGCGTCTGCCAGCAGCTCGGGTCCAACCCGACGTGGCGCTCACAAGCAGGACCGGCTGCGTAAACGGAGGGGCCCATTGCAAAATGAAAATGAGAGCCTGGTTCAAAAATGAGGAGGGAGGGGCTGCCCCCGTGGCGTAGTGGTTAAGTTTGCGTGCTCTGCTTTGGTGGCCCAGGGTTCGTGGGTTGGGACCCTGGGTGCAGACCTACACACTGCTCATCAAGCCATGCTGTGGCGGCATCCCACATACAAAATAGAGGAGGATTGGCACAGATGTCAGCTCAGTGACAATCTTCCTCGAGCAAAAAGAGGAAGATTGGCAACAGATGTTAGCTCAGGGCCAATCTTCCTCACCAAAAAAAAAAAAAAAAAAGGAGGAAGTGTAGTCAGGACAGCACGGCATTGACCTCAATGCAGAGCCCTTCTGAGGGCTGGCCCTGTGTGACCGCAGGATCGTCCACCAGAGCAGCTGCCCTGCTCTCAGCACCCCTCCGTCCTCTCAGAGTCCTGGGGCAGAACCCTCTGTGCAATGCACTGACCCTAGAGTGGCTGTTGGCCTGTCCTCCCTGGCTGGTGAGGCCGGACTTACAGACTCACATGTGAGCCCTCTGGGAAATCGGGGCTCAACAAAGAGCTTCAAAGTGCCGGGCCCTGCCTGAGCTGCCGCCTGCTCTGGGCTGCTGTCCCGATTGCCAACTCTCGCTCTCCAGTGGCTCATTGTGGGCTCCCAGTTCGAGGACATCCGAGATGCCCTCATCTGGCTGCTTGGTCATTTACCGCCTGGCCGAGGCCCATAGTCAGGCCGGCTGCCCCCTCAGGAGCTTCAGAGCCCGGAGCAGCCGCCTGTGATGGGGCAGCGCCCCTCTCCCCTCCTGGGCCACCCTCCTGGGCGCTGAACTGACCCCGCAGCAAGCCTGGGCCCGGAGCTGCACGTGGTCACCCCTGCAGCCACTGCACCGTGAGGAACAGGCCAGTTTGCAGGGGCCAGGCCTCTGCAAGACCCGAGAGGAGGGGCCAGTCCCGGAGGCCCTACCTTGCCAGGCATCCTCCCCCCGGGGGACCTGGGACTCCACATCAGGGCCATTTGGGGCCTGAGCCTTGGCCCAGGACACTGCATTCTCTTAGGGCTTCATCCTTGCCCGTGCGTGACAGAGAATAGACAGGAGCCTGCAAGACGGGGTCACTGAGGCCGTGTGCCGGCTGGGAGACGCAGAGATGACAGAGCAGAGGCAACATGGCAGGGACGAGCTCCCCCAACTGGCACCTTTGCCTGGCAATTCTTTGTGCTCCTGGGGGTACTGGGCACAAAGACCCGTGCACCCACGCCTTTGGTGCCAGGACTCTGCAGCACCTCCCGTCAGGAAGGGGTGAGTCTGTCTGTCTCTGGCATCTGGACCAGCCTGTGACTTGCTCTGACCAACAGAACGTGGTGGGAGAGGCAGGGGGCCGATTCTGAGCCAGGCCTGCTGCCCAGGCTTCCCCACACCCGCAGCACGGCCTGGCGGCCTGCTGGGGCACGACGGGCTGTGACGTCCCGGCAAGCGCCAGAGATGGGAGAGCAGAGGCCCGATCAGCAGAGCCCTCTCCCAGACCCGCAGCTGATGGTGGACGCAGGAGCCCGGCCAGCCCAGAGGCCACCAGGTTGAGCCCAGCCTTGCGGCCCCCTGCAGACTCAGCCGTTGTTCTAAGCCCCGTGCTCTGGGGTGTTGGTTACGCAGAGGTGGTGATGGCCACAGGGCCTGGTAGCAAAGGGGCCGCTGTGCACACAGCCACTGTTTCTCTCTTTCCTCCAGAGGAGGTTCTGCCCCCGAGAAGCTCTGCTCAGGGTCCCTTCCTGGGAGCCTGTCCTGAGCAAGGAGCCTGTGGGGCGGAGGCCACCAGGTGTCACGGAAGGAGCCGGCGTGCCAACCACTGCTTCACTGCGTCGTGCACTCACTCCCCAAGGCTTCTGCAGGGGCCCTGGGGAGGCCCAAGCCACAGGGCAGGGTCACGCCTTCCAGTAGCTTCCAGTCCGATGGCGGAGATAGACAAGGAAACAGATGAGGCCACGTGGCGTCTTCTCGGGTCAAACCAGGTGAGCCCGTGGGAATGCCAGGAGGGGCAGTGAAGCCCACCCCAGGAAGAGGTGGTGTCAGGACCTGAGCCTGTGACCCCGGAGCCTCACCCCAGACCAGCTGCTCACCCCTGCTCTGACAATCCCTGTTTCCTGTAGACCTCTGGCCACACCGTGCCGGAAGGATCCAGAAAGCAGACGGGGGGAGGGTACACTTCCTCTGCACCCCACAATGCAGACAGGGCCCAGGCTAGCCCTTGGGTGCAGGCTAGCCCGCCACCCCTCAGAAATACTCAGAAAACACTTGCTGAGTTGAATTGAAAGGAACTAAATTAAATCAAACAAATAGCACTGGTCTGTCTCATTGGGTGGGCCACAGCCTCCTGTCCAATGATGTGGTCGGGATGGGGACCATTTTCCTCTCCTTCCGGGTCTCCACCCCCAGGGTGGGCACAGGGCTGGGAAACATCAGAGCTGATGTGTGCTGACCATATTTGTAAAGATTGCCCCTCTTCTCAGTCAGAAAACTCCAGAATAGGTCTTGTCTACTCATCTCCTTCTTCGTTTTATTCCTCAAATTTGGGGCAGGGGCACCTCCTGTGGGGCGGAAACTGTGCTCGGCCCTGGGGGTGAGAAGGGCAACCAGACGCAGTTGCTGACCTGGAAGAGATCATCGTCTATCAGAAGAGATGGTGCAGGCAGGGGCCACAGGTGGGTGTGGAGGGAGACACGGCAGGATGAAGGGTCAAAGGGAGCCCCAGTGGGGACCTGAGTCCAGGAAGGCTTCCTGGAGGAGGGGACCCTTGGGCAGGAAGGAAGGGGGAAGCAGGGCTGGAGAAAGCAGCAAGGGCACTGAGGGAGGGAGAAGAGCGCAAGCCGTGTGCAGGGCCACTGCAGCGCCATGATGGAGGGACCAGGGGGCTGGGGCACGATGGCCGGAAGCATTGTTGACTCCACAAGTTTGGAGTTTGTGCTGAAAGCAGACAGGGAAATCCGGAGGATGCTGTGGTCCATTGCTCCCTGGTCCCTGATGCTCCCAGCCCCGCCTCCACGCCCTTTGCCCCTCGTCTTGGCGTTTCCTCCCGCGTGGGGCAGAATGTCCTGCTGGCCCCGCCGAGGCAGGGCTTGGCAGCGGGATGAGCAGAGGTTTGGAACCTCCCTACAAAAGCTGTGCTTCTGCCAACCAACAAGAAGGTGCCCAGGGGGCCCGCTGGCCCAAGGAGGGTGAGGGGTCTTGAGCAGACCCGGAGCCCAGCCCCTCAGCGGAAGGCCAGCCCCACCCCACTCCGATGCTTGCTGGGATGGCTTCCCAAATACAGGGCCGTCTGAGTCAGTGCAGGCTGCTCCACCACAGTACGCAGCCCGGGGGCTGAAACAGCCAGCATTTTCTTCTCCCAGTCCTGGAGGCTGGGAACCCAGGATTGGGGCGCTGCCTGTCCCACGTCTGGCGAGTGTCTGCTTCCTGGTCCCCAGATGGTCATCTTCTCATTGCGCCCTCACGGGGCAGAGGGCAGACAGCAGCGAGCTCTCTTGAGTCCCTTCTTACACGGCCACTGATCCCATCAC